TGCTATAATTATTCTTCTGTGGTCAGATTTTTATCATTTTATAACATTTCTTAGACTCACACATGCTATAATTATTCTTCTGTGGTCAGATTTTTATCATTTTATAACATTTCTTAGACTCACACATGCTATAATTATTCTTCTGTGGTCAGATTTTTATCATTTTATAACATTTCTTAGACTCACACATGCTATAATTATTCTTCTGTGGTCAGATTTTTATCATTTTGAAATTAAACGTGGGCAAATGTTTTTTGGGGGGGTTGACTTACTATTGTCTTATGTCCAGACTCAATCCCTGTCAACCCAATGTTACTTATCTGTGTCCAGACTCAATCCCTGTCATCCCAATGTTACTTATCTGTGTCCAGACTCAATTCCTGTCATCCCAATGTTACTTATCTGTGTCCAGACTCAATCCCTGTCATCCCAATGTTACTTATCTGTGTCACGACTCAATTCCTGTCATCCCAATGTTACTTATCTGTGTCCAGACTCAATCCCTGTCATCCCAATGTTACTTATCTGTGTCCAGACTCAATCCCTGTCATCCCAATGTTACTTATCTGTGTCCAGACTCAATTCCTGTCATCCCAATGTTACTTATCTGTGTCCAGACTCAATTCCTGTCATCCCAATATTACTTATCTGTGTCCAGACTCAATCCCTGTCATCCCAATGTTACTCATCTGTGTCCAGACTCAATCCCTGTCATCCCAATGTTACTTATCTGTGTCCAGACTCAATCCCTGTCATCCCAATGTTACTTATCTGTGTCCAGACTCAATCCCTGTCATCCCAATGTTACTTATCTGTGTCCAGACTCAATCCCTGTCATCCCAATGTTACTTATCTGTGTCACGACTCAATTCCTGTCATCCCAATGTTACTTATCTGTGTCCAGACTCAATTCCTGTCATCCCAATGTTACTCATCTGTGTCCAGACTCAATCCCTGTCATCCCAATGTTACTTATCTGTGTCCAGACTCAATCCCTGTCATCCCAATGTTACTCATCTGTGTCCAGACTCAATTCCTGTCATCCCAATGTTACTCATCTGTGTCCAGACTCAATTCCTGTCATCCCAATGTTACTTATCTGTGTCCAGACTCAATTCCTGTCATCCCAATGTTGCTCATCTGTGTCCAGACTCAATCCCTGTCATCCCAATGTTACTCATCTGTGTCCAGACTCAATCCCTGTCATCCCAATGTTACTTATCTGTGTCCAGACTCAATTCCTGTCATCCCAATGTTACTTATCTGTGTCCAGACTCAATCCCTGTCATCCCAATGTTACTTATCTGTGTCCAGACTCAATTCCTGTCATCCCAATGTTGCTCATCTGTGTCCAGACTCAATCCCTGTCATCCCAATGTTACTCATCTGTGTCCAGACTCAATCCCTGTCATCCCAATGTTACTTATCTGTGTCCAGACTCAATCCCTGTCATCCCAATGTTCCTCATCTGTGTCCCGACTCAATCCCTGTCATCCCAATGTTACTTATCTGTGTCCAGACTCAATCCCTGTCATCCCAATGTTCCTCATCTGTGTCCAGACTCAATCCCTGTCATCCCAATGTTACTCATCTGTGTCCAGACTCAATCCCTGTCATCCCAATGTTACTTATCTGTGTCCAGACTCAATCCCTGTCATCCCAATGTTACTTATCTGTGTCCAGACTCAATCCCTGTCATCCCAATGTTACTTATCTGTGTCCAGACTCAATTCCTGTCATCCCAATGTTGCTCATCTGTGTCCAGACTCAATCCCTGTCATCCCAATGTTACTCATCTGTGTCCAGACTCAATCCCTGTCATCACAATGTTACTTATCTGTGTCCAGACTCAATTCCTGTCATCCCAATGTTACTTATCTGTGTCCAGACTCAATCCCTGTCATCCCAATGTTACTTATCTGTGTCCAGACTCAATTCCTGTCATCCCAATGTTGCTCATCTGTGTCCAGACTCAATCCCTGTCATCCCAATGTTACTCATCTGTGTCCAGACTCAATCCCTGTCATCCCAATGTTACTTATCTGTGTCCAGACTCAATCCCTGTCATCCCAATGTTCCTCATCTGTGTCCCGACTCAATCCCTGTCATCCCAATGTTACTTATCTGTGTCCAGACTCAATCCCTGTCATCCCAATGTTCCTCATCTGTGTCCAGACTCAATCCCTGTCATCCCAATGTTCCTCATCTGTGTCCAGACTCAATTCCTGTCATCCCAATGTTCCTCATCTGTGTCCAGACTCAATCCCTGTCATCCCAATGTTACTTATCTGTGTCCAGACTCAATCCCTGTCATCCCAATGTTCCTCATCTGTGTCCAGACTCAATCCCTGTCATCCCAATGTTCCTCATCTGTGTCCAGACTCAATCCCTGTCATCCCAATGTTCCTCATCTGTGTCCAGACTCAATCCCTGTCATCCCAATGTTACTTATCTGTGTCCAGACTCAATCCCTGTCATCCCAATGTTACTTATCTGTGTCCAGACTCAATCCCTGTCATCCCAATGTTCCTCATCTGTGTCCAGACTCAATTCCTGTCATCCCAATGTTCCTCATCTGTGTCCAGACTCAATCCCTGTCATCCCAATGTTCCTCATCTGTGTCCAGACTCAATCCCTGTCATCCCAATGTTCCTCATCTGTGTCCAGACTCAATCCCTGTCATCCCAATGTTACTCATCTGTGTCCAGACTCAATCCCTGTCATCCCAATGTTACTCATCTGTGTCCAGACTCAATCCCTGTCATCCCAATGTTACTCATCTGTGTCCAGACTCAATCCCTGTCATCCCAATGTTACTCATCTGTGTCCAGACTCAATCCCTGTCATCCCAATGTTACTTATCAGTGTCTTTAAAATATCTGTAACCACTCAGGACTGCAGGTTACACCAGGCTGGTACAGCTGTTATAGATACCCAACTGTAACTTTTCTAGAGGTTGAATGGGGTATCTGGGATTTGCCCTGTTGGTCTCGCATCCAGACTGAGATTTTGCAATCTCAGGGCCTGAAACTTTCAGACAGCAGTTCAGAAGAAAAGGAAACAAGAATCAAAAGAAGTAAGAATCTGTGTCCTTAACGATCAATGCCAAGCAACTTACTATTGGTTTATTAAATTTCTCTACATATACTAAATTTTTCCTAATGTCTAAGGTATAATTCTTCTTCTTTTCTTTATTCCTGGTATAATTCTATTCCTACATTATCAAAATCTGTTTTAATTGTTGCATTTATTCTTCTTTTTCTTCTTCACTTCCTACAGTTACTTCATCAAAGTATTTTCCTGGGAGACGTAAGGATCATCTGTGTGCTAATCCTAATGCTAAAAATGTCAGCTCATCTTGATTTCCACAAAGCTCTTCTCGATGCCATTGTTCTTCATTTTGTGTGGTCTTCCCTTGCTCTGTATACCCAACAGATAGCTTTAACCATCTCATCTGTTGCTTTTTAATCAAATGTACGACTGGTTTCAGGTCTAGCCTTCTTCTAATTTCTTCATTTTCAATTTGATCCCTTCTTGTTATTCCGGCAGCTCTTCTAAGATTCTCACCTCTGTTGTTATGATTTTGTGCTCATTAGTGTGAGCAAGGGTCCCAGTTGACACTGGTAGCATAAAGCTGGCCATAATAATCATTCTTAGTAGATTTGCCTTGGTAATGTGCATATTCTTCTATTTGTCAAAAAGGGTGGTTAGTAGTCACAGGACCTAGTTTGCTTTTGGCTCATTGTCTGTTGATTTCTCTATAAATTCCTCCTTCTGATGTGAAAACTGACCTTAGATATTACATTCTTTGCTTTTTTTTTCTGTGTTGTTTCTTTTAGTGATATGGTTTCTGGTTGTCTACTTATCGCCACTGTCTCTGTCTTTTCTATTTATTTTCATGTTATATATCTGGCATTTAATGCTAGTTGTTGCATTAAATTACTTCATTCCATTCGTGAGTTGTCACCTCACTGAAGGAATCACATTCATACTTATCCCTTGCTTTAGTTTATCAACCATCAAGAAACTGACTCAGTTAATGTTAATTTCATGGCTTAGATGGCACAGACAAGAAGTGAGAAGAAAAACAAACACTGAATGCTGAATTCACTAGTCAGTGTGGAATGTGTAAGCAGAAATGTACTTATGACTGTGACCAATGCTTCAGTGCAAGGACATCCAAGTTATTATTAGGTTTTCTCCTTGTATGTCCTATCCTTCTCCAGCGTCTTCTCCCTCACCTTGCCAGTTGTAGGGGAATTGGCTTTGTTCTCTCCAGGAACAACAGATCAGTGGTTCTGTCATACCAGTTTATCCCTTCAAAACTGGCTGTCTTTTGTGCTTGAATCTATCTCCATGGGGTGGACTAGTCAACTCCAATACCCCCCTCACTTGTTGCTCCTGACAGTTTGGGTATATTGAGGTGTTAGAACTCTTTGCTTTACCTAAGGCCCCAGTAAGTAAGTGGCCCCTTTTTGTGTAACTGATTCACTAAGCACACTGTGGTAGTTTCATATTTTATTGACTAACTGGAACTCAATTGGTAATTTAGTACCTACTTTAGGCTAGGTCTACCTGGGAACTAGTCTGCTTAGAGGTTATGAATAAATTTCATAATGCTGAGGTGTCGGGTTCAATCCCAGCTGCAGGCAATATGGCAGCAGATCGCCTTGCATTGGTTTCAATAGTAGTATCATGAGCTGACTAGCTAGAAAGCAAATGCACTGGAAGTAAATTTGCCTAGAAAAACTACAACAGCCAAAAAATGCTGGGATTGGTTCTGCGGGGTCCTGTAAAGGACATATAACTCACAAAAACTAGCTGGGAGCCTAGGTCAAGTATTTAAAAAAATCCATTCTGATGCAGATTTGAACTCAAGACCTCCAGCCTGGCGGGCAAACATCTAGCCTCCGTGCAACCACAGCTCCCTAAGAGTCCAGTAACACCTTCTTCTTGTGCCCATTAGGTTACCAATGAAGCTCACGAACAAGGTAACTTACTTGTGACAAAATCCTTGTATGCCAAACAGATAGTCCTGAGACCATCACTAGCCATAGGTTCGATGACTTCGCTGACAACTCTCTCCTGCTCCTTGACAGAGAAAGGCTGTGCCACTCCTTGGGAATCAAGGATAAAGCTGCACCTGCAGTTCAAAGTTTCAATGAAACAGCATTGAAAAAAAGAATCCCTGTATGGTTTATGTGTATGTGAGTCAGATCTGAAAGAACAAATACAGTGCACTAACAGTCTTTTTGGAGTTACACATCTTTGCCTGTCAATCCTCTTCCTGTCTAGCATCCTCTTCCTGTCTCAAAAGTGACTCAACACTTTCTACTATCTAGACGTGTTACGGATATTTATGGGAAAGAACCCAACTTACAGATGAGTGATTTTTGTGTATTCTTGTATGTAACTGTTTGTCTGTTGGTCTCATATGCTTATGAAGGCTTTCTAGCCGCAACGTTAATTTTCTCATGGTTCTATTCCTTATTTGGTTTGATACCTTTTCATTGCAATGCACAAAGAGAGATAGTCACATGTCAGGAAAAAAGGGAAATAATCTGACCGCTACAGGGTCTGAATGCCAGAAGACTGTTTTGATAAACAAGGGCCTTAACCACACTGCCTGCAATTACAAGCAAACGAGTGTAGGTGGACAACTAACAATGTCATTAGAAAAACTGACACTGGACAACTAACAATGTCATTAGAAAAACTGACACTGGACAACTAACAATGTCATTAGAAAAACTGACACTGGACAACTAACAATGTCATTAGAAAAACTGACACTGGACAACTAACAATGTCATTAGAAAAACTGACACTGGACAACTAACAATGTCATTAGACAAAATGTTATTGGACAACTAACAATGTCATTAGACAAAATGACACTGGGCAACTAACAATGTCTTTAGACCAAAATGTCATTGGACAACTTACAATGTCATTAGACAAACTGACACTGGACAACTACCAATGTCATTATACTAAAATGTCATTGGGCAACTAACAATGTCATTGGACAACTAACAATGTCATTAGACAAAATGTTATTGGACAACTAACAATGTCATTAGACAAAATGTTATTGGACAAATTAACAATGTCATTAGACAAAATGACACTGGACAACTAACAATGATATGAGACAAACTGATACTGGACAACTAACAATGTCATTAGACCAAAATGTCACTGCACAACTAACAATGTCATTAGACAAAATGTTATTGGACAACTAACAATGTCATTAGACAAAATGTTATTGGACAAATTAACAATGTCATTAGACAAAATGACACTGGACAACTAACAATGTCATTAGACCAAAATGTCACTGGACAACTAACAATGTCATTAGACAAAATGTTATTGGACAACTAACAATGTCATTAGACAAAATGTTATTGGACAAATTAACAATGTCATTAGACAAAATGACACTGGACAACTAACAATGATATGAGACAAACTGATACTGGACAGCTAACAATGTCATTAGACCAAAATGTCACTGGACAACTAACAATGTCATTAGACCAAAATGTCACTGGACAACTAACAATGTCATTAGACAAAATGACACTGGACAATTAACAATGTCATTAGACCAAAATGCCAAAACTGATATTGAACAAATAATAATGTCACTAAACAAGCAAACTGTTCCTGTCCAAACTAGCAATTAGTTTTTAAAAAATCCACTTCATTGGGCAGTGGAGCAATGTCAGTGAGTGAAGTAGCAATGTCATAAAGTCAACTTGCAATGTCACTGTGCAAACTAACAATGTCACTGTGCAAACTGTCAGTGCGATTCAGTCAACAAACAATGATATTTAGGAAATTAGGAATATCATTGTGCAAACTAGCAATGCCATTAAGTAAGCTAGCAATGTCATTGTGCAAACTAGCAATGTCATTAAGTAAATACCAACGTAACTGTGCAAATCATCAATGTCATTTAGTAAACTAGCAATGTCATTGTGAAAACTAACAATGTCACTGTGCAAACTGTCAGTGCCATTCAGTCAACAAACAATGATATTTAGTAAACTAGGAATATCATTGTGCAAACTAGTAATGTCATTAGGTAAGCTAGCAATGTCATTGTGCAAACTAGCAATGTCATTGTGCAAACTAGCAATGTCATTTAGTAAACTAGCAATGTCATTGTGAAAACTAACAATGTCATTTAGTAAACTAGCAATGTCATTGTGAAAACTAACAATGTCATTTAGTAAACAATCAATGTCATTGGGCAAACTAGCAATTTCTTATATAAACCAGCCATGTCACTATGCAAACTATCAGTGTAAGTGGACAAACATGCAAAATCATATATTAAACAAGCAATGGCAGGGAAAACCTAGCAATATCTTTGTGTAAACTAGCAATGTTCTTAGGTAAACTAGCAATGGTCTTAGGTAAACTAGCAATGTTCTTAGGTAAACTAACAATGTTCTTAAGTAAACTAGCAATGTCATCAGGGAAACAGGCAAGGTAATTTAGTGAACTAGTTATGTCACTGTAGGGATGTGTGGGGGAAGGGGGAACTAGCAATTCGGCTGGATTAATTAACAATTTTAACGATCAATGTCACTGGGCAAAATAGCATTGTCATTTTACGAATTGCCATAATAATTTGCTAGACTACCATTGTGATTTCCCAGACTGCAACTGTCATTTTTGCAAACAGCCACTATCATGTTGAAAACTACAATTTTCATTTGGCAAAAAAAAAAAAAAAGCCCATTAGTATCTGGTACATTACCACAGCGATTAATGTTTTTGGTGCAGAATAACGGGGAAATAAGACTATAAATAGTAAATCAACTGATTCAGATCAAATCGGCTAAGCCTGATATTATGACTTACTTTTTCACTACAACTTCAGAAGCTCCTTTACAGAAGAGCCTGTAGACATCCTCCCGTTGGTCCACTTTGATCACTGAGCTCATAGACTTGCGGTCAGAGTTGAAGGTATACACCTTGACCAGTTTCTCTTCAGGGTACTTCTCACGGATCTAGACACAGAAGTCATAGGGCGTCAGCAAAACATATTGTTACAAGTGATAACAGAAGCAAGGACTTTGGTCATCTTACCCTCATTCTGTTGACAGTAAAAGCCAGTAGTCAGTCTGCTTGACCATCATACACAAAACCAGGAATACTGTCCTCTCTTACTCTCATATTACCCATTCACAAACATACAAAAGCAGGAGTATGGCTGTTTTACCCTCACACAGACTGTTGAAACCAAAAACCAGGAATCTGTATGTCTTACCCTCATATAAACTGTTTACACCAGAAACCAGGAATTTGGCTGTCCTACCCACATCTAAACTGTTCATACAAAAAAAAAATTAGGAATCTGTCTGTCTTACTCTCATACAAACTGTTCACACTAGTTAACACTATCCCCCCCCCCCCCCAACTGCAGTAAGATGTATACACCAAGTGTACTCACCTTCTCATAAGACTGTTTCATGGCCAAGACAAACCCCAAGAGGGCACATTCGGTCTTGTTGCCCAGCTGTTTTGGATGACCACCGTCAGGATTTTCCTACCACAGAAATAAACAACGCTGAAAACATATTCTTTGTCAGACATCTCCGACAATTATCTTGTATCATCAACAGCCATCTCAAACAATTACATTGAATCACTGACAGACATGTGGCGGAATGCAGGCCTGTTTACCTGTAGGTCTTGAGGTAAAATCTTGATTGAAGCAGATTTTTTGTACAACTGACCTACATCAATACTTACCGATCAGTTACTGTGTTCTGAATCCTCTGTACAAGTAATAATGCTCTTTTTTTCATGACACTTAATTTCTAGTTAAGAATAACTTATTTTACACAATGCCTCCATACGTGCCATTATCTCCTCCAATCTATGGAAGGAGTTCCATTCATACCCTAATCTCCTCCAATCAATGATGAATGTCTCAGTACAGTGCAGCAACTCCATAGTGCCAGGGAAGATCATGTAATATAATTCAGTACACAGGCTTTTCAACATGTCCTTCCACCACAATCCTAGCTTACTAACTGCCAATAAACTAATTATTTGAACAAGTATGGTGAGTTCCCTTTCCTCTTCTTCATTTGCCCTTAACCATGTTGACTTGAGAAGCCACAAAACCTACACTTCTGGGTGGGTCCTATTTCCAGAGAACGCCATTCAACTGACTTTTCTACAGTTCTTCTGTGTTTACAAGATACATAGTTAATGTTACTGGTTGTGATTGTGCCTACACAAAAATATAGGAGGGCAGGATGTGAATATATTAACTAAAATAATGGGTGGGGAAGGGTTCCCCATCAACCAAACAGCATTTTTAGAGCCATGCTGACATCAAATTTCCCCTTAAGCCTCAGTGATAGAGGTAATGGGGTCACAGCATGAGTCACTCCACACATATATCTTTTTTAAGACTGTGTATATTTTTACATATAAAAAATATTTCAAACAACCTACACATATATGTGTGTGTGTGTGTGTGTGTGTGTGTGCATATAAACAAATTATTTAATAAATTTATTAGGGACTTGTGTAAAAAGGAGGTGTTTAAAAAAAAAAAAAAGAATTGTTTCAGGAACTGCCATGGACTGTTCAAGACCTATTCCGTTTAGCATGACAAGGGCGACAGTGCTAAAAGGGCGGTTGGCACGACACATTGTAGCTAGGCTGCAACATCTGCACTTTTCAACCAGCACAACCAATTTCATAAACTCCTAATTAGTAATCTTTTACCACGTGCTCAGTTAAAATGGGGCACAATCAAAACCCCTATGAGGATGTTCCCCCCTTCCTATTCAAAAACTGTGAACCTACATCACAGCATTCTTGTAACAACTCCATCACTATCTTCAGCTGCCAAGAGTTACCATGGAATCTGGCTGATGCTCAACACTCGAGGTAAAGGTGAGACGGATAAACAATCAGTTACTGGTACCATCCAAATTGGAACTCTTTATTTGCTGCTGAAGATGGGAATGGAGCGTGTATGAGTGTCCCGAGTGCTGTGATAAGGTAATTCAACATTCAACACACATTCAACAGCTAGCCTAGATCCAACAATAATGGTCCAACTGTAGGCTAATTACATGTTTCAGGACTAGTGATGTCCATGTATGTTGAAGTGTTTCAAGATAAAGCATTACCATCTGCTTTAGGCAAGCCTGGAAATCACAGCCCGTGGTGATGGTGAGTGTGTGTGTGACCAGCAAGATCTGCTCATTTTAAGGAAAAGTCTCCACAACAGAGCAAAGAATTTCAGGACCATTATTGCCATTGCATGCATCTCAAGTGAGTTTTCTCAGATGCCGAGCTCTTAATCTACCAGTTATCCCTATTTTTTTTCATGATTAACAGCCACCACGCACCATGGTATCCTGCTCCCACAAATCAATATTAGCACCATAACTCTGAACATGTACACAATCATGGTTCTCTTTTGTAATAAAATTAATATTTAGGCTAGATGCTCACCTGGGAATCGGAAGGTCGTGGGTTCACTCGCTGGCGGGGTCTAACTTTATTTTAAAAAAATGACCTCGGCTCCCAGGTCGACCCAGCCTTGAGTGGGTACCGGGTGCAGTCCCAGGAAGTAAAGGCTGCCGGCGTGGTGTTGACCACATCACCCATCTTGTGCCAATAGGGCTATAAAATATAGGTCTAGCCCTAAATGCCCTATATACCCTAAAGGCGTGGAAAAGGGTTCCTTTACCTTTTGTTTTACTTTACCTTTTTACAGCTGAGAGCAAGAAATGCTGTAACAAACAACAATTCACCTCTATCTTGGATGTGTATCCACAGTTGACAGCGATGGATTCTAAAATCAGCTGGCCTAGCTTTGAATTGATGGCTTGGAAGTCAGGAACACTTTTATAATAGTTTTCTAAGACACAAAGAAATGAAACAATAGAGGTTGTAAATGCTACTAGCAAGTCAACTGAGTGGACACATGTGAAAGAACCCTAATGTCTAATTATATTAGAGATATTTACAAGTTATACATACATTTGACTATGGTAGCCAAGTGGTTAAAACACTTGTCTACCAAGACAGTGCAGAGAAATGATGGTTTTTTCCTCACCTTTTTTGACTTTGAAATTGTCCCAGCATTACCAAAATGGGTATCGAAAAAATCTTCAGATTTTGGAAATATCCTATGTTGTGGAGGTATAGCCTTTGTCTCTTTACTCGTGTTGTCACCACTTATTTGGATGATTTTTTCCATGTTGTGCTACTTACTTGACGGTTCATGAGTATCGAAACTGATACTTTTATATTTCTATATTCCTTGTCAGTGGCTTCTTTTTCTGGGAGAAATGTAGAAAAATAAAAACATCCCAGTTTCGACACTTATAAACAGTCGCGCCTTTGACGCTTCCCCTGCAGTACTTCAAAGAGACTCACGACAACACAACCTAACACACACATTATATACGACCAGCAAACGCTGAACAAAGCCATCTCATGACACTCCCCTCAACATAGGACAAGATGTGCGACCTGCTGCGACATGAATGGGAGGTAAAGGAGCTCTTACCGTGTGGGCAAGTTCAAGAGAAGTTCCAAAATGGAATAAAGAATGGAACAGGTAACCCCTAACTCATCGTGTCATGGCCTAGGACAGGCATGTGAAACAGGTTTTTTTGAATATCACCAAAACTTAGAAACACACAGTGTGCATAACAATGGTTTAGTGGCTAGCCACATTCATGTATACAAAGTAATGAAGTAGTTTTTAAAAAGAAAGGGGGCGGGGGTGGGTGTGTGAAGAAATTTTAAACCATAATGTAGACTGTATACACATAAAAGATGCAAACAGTGGTGAATGTAGAGTGAGAAACAACAACAAATTTCATAATCTGTTTAAATCACCACTGGCATCGTGAGAGCTAATAGACTTAAATGGTTGGGACATATTGAAAGAATGTCAGATGACAGAGAAGTAAAAACTTTATACTCCAGGGAGATTTATGATCGCAGACCACGAGGCAGACCAAGAAGACGATGGAGAGATAATATCCAGATAGACCTGCAAACACTTGGTGTCACCAACTGGAAAGAGAAGGCCAACCAGAGAGATGAATGGAGGCAGGTGATATCTGCAGCAATGAACCTCAAAGGCTCAGAATGCTGAAGAAGAAGAAGAAGAAGAAGAAGAAGAAGAAGAAGAAGAAGAAGAAGAAGAAGAAGAAGAAGAATATAGACCTGTATGCAACAGCAACAAATACATTGTACAAAAAATACAACAGTTCAAAATTAACTTTTATTTACAACTATTTTTAGTGTCTTGTCCTCTGGTCTGACACCTATTTTTTTAATGACAATTTTTGCTATGCAGGCTTAAATGTCTATGCAATTCCACCTTTGATCAGAGATGACACATGCTGATCAGTCAGCCTTATTCTATTAGAAGGTTCTGTTGATTTCATGAAAGAAAACAACTGTTCCCACACATAGTTAGGAGAGCCGTGGTCTAGCGGCTAGATTCTTGCCTGCAAATCGAAAGGTCATGTGTTCCTGACATTGGTCAGATTTTTTTTTTTTAAATGACCTTGGCTCCCAGGTCAACCCAGCCTTGAGTGGGTACCAAGTACAGTCCTGGGAAGTTAATGCAGTCAGCGTGATGCTGACCACATCACCCACCAAGTGCTGTTTAGTCTATAAAATATAGGTCTAGCCCAACATACCCACTATACCTAAAGGCGTGGAAAAGGGTCCTTTACTTAGGTTACACAAGAGTAGGACTGAACATTGTCATACTGCTTGCGGCAAACTTTCTGAAGTTTTAAAAAAAACTTTTCAGGAAAGTTTGGCAAGAAACTAGGTATCCCCGCTTCAGGATATTTTGCTTTCAATGTAGAATCTGACTGCATTTCCAATAGTTTTACCTGGAGGCTTTTTTCTGTTCTGTCATCACCAACGGTGAATTAGGCTGAGAAATTATGCAAAGAGGTGTTCAAAAGATGAGAAACCATGTAATTGTTCCTGAAATTTGTTTGACAACAATTCCAGGTGACTGTCATACTTGGCAAAGCTAAGTACAGATTTAGTGCAGTCAATGTTTTCTAGCTCATTGCAATAAGGAAAAATGAACTAAATTTGTATCTTACAACTGTGACTCCCAAAAGCTTAGTTTTGTTATGATACAGCTGATGTCATCACATAATTGAATGATGAGTTCGTTTTTTACACATTAATTCTAAATTAAGACCAGTTAAATGTATAGTGCTGTCCACAGCAAAAGCCAGATCCTGGAGTGTGCTTGCAAAGGACCATATGCAGCCCACGGGCCCAATCGTGGCTTAGAGAACTTGAATGCAACTAAAATGTCTGTCAAGATACTTCTTATTCTTCTGTATATGCATTTAAAAGGACAGTTGACACATTGTGGTTTACAGCTAGGCTGCAATTTATGCACCTTTCTGCTCAACAAATTAGATTTCAGTGAACCCTTAATTAGTAACCTTTTATGACATGCTTATTAGGGTGGTGGGGGAGAGGGGGTGTCTTTTCCTTTCCCCCCTCCAACTGGGTGTTAAATACTTTGGGTCTTTTCTCCAGGCCATACCAGCATGTTGGGTAATGAACAGGCAGACAGATTGGCTGGATTTGCACCACTGGGTGGTGAATTGATACATGACAAGGCAGGTGTGGTCGAGGCCCTTTGGGAACAAGCAACGGAACCAGTAGAGAAAGAAGATTATTATAGCCTCAAGAGAATAAGCAATCTGGGTGTAACCAGAGGGTCTGGTTGGCTTACTACACTCAGAGGAAATGGCAAGACGGACAAAATAACCAGATTGTGACCGGTACCATCAGTATTGGAATTCTGCTCTGGATACTGAAGATGAGGACGGAGCATGCATGGAAATGTCATAAGTGCTGTGATGTCAATTCTTGACTCAACTCAGCTCAACTCAACTGGGGGTTGGCTTATAATAAACATGGACAAAACAGCTTTAGAAATAGATCAATCATGAGGAGCTTACTTGCGATGTAGCTCTGTACGACTGTCATCCGGTTGGTGGTAAGGGTACCGGTTTTATCTGAGCAGATTGCGGTGGCGTTGCCCATGGTCTCGCAAGCATCCAAGTGTCGTACCAGATTGTTGTCATGCATCATTTTCTGGGGATATTTGAATCAAGCTATCAGGACATCCACTAAATTCAACACTGCACAGTCTGCAAAGCGCCAGCCTTTCCTTCTGAGCTCAAATTAATCTCCCTCATTCATTATTTCAGACCTCAGAAGTGCCCCATGTGTGACAGTATATTATTCATGCATACTAACCGCTAATATACAAACATAAACCCTTATTAGGGCATTCAAACCTAAGAATGACAGCCAAGAATCAGATGGTAAACAGCATATTGATACCAACACTGTGCTATCACTGCCAAACTTGGACATTATCAAAGGCCACCTACGTAAAATTAATACCTATGAAATGAGATGCCTGAAGAAAGATCCCAACTTAACCATCCGAGACAAATTGAGAAATGACACTATCAGACAGACTGTGGGAATAATTTACCAGATTCACTGAGAAACAAGAAACACCAACACAAGCACTACACAGGAAAAGATCTGATGCAAATGCAAGAGGTCAGCCTAGTAGACGATGGAGTGATGAAATTAAAGAAAGACCTTCTACATCAACTCAAAATGGTCTTTTACTAATCCTGTTACATGGCCAAACTATCTGATCTGTTGTCTACAAATAAAGTTCCATATTGGTTCTGTGCCATCTCTCCTCCTGATATCATTGTTCTAAAATTGATCTTTCCTTTCTTTTTTTTACACATAGCCTAATAGGCCAACAGTTGATTTCTGACTTTTTTTTTCCTTGCTAAGACAGTGACACATGATCATAATCAGGAACTACAAATGGCGAACGAAAGAAGAAGAAGAAGAAGAAAGAACTACAAATGAATAGTGCAGCTAGAAAGCCTTAATCAGCAGATAACATGAACAGACAATGCTACACTTACAAACAAGAAATATCCATAGGTCTGGGCAGTAGAAGCACTCAGACAGGTGGGATACAAGAAATTCATACTGGTCAGAAAGAGACTGGCAGGCAATGGCTTTAACTCAAAAATAAATATTATACAAAGCTTTGTTGAAAGTTAAGGCCCTTAGCTGAAAGGGAGCTAATTAGACAGATAAGGGTTTGTAGAAACAGTACACTAAAGCGTTTTGGTGTTGCCATTACTGCCTCTTTCAGTTGTGATCTTTTGGGATTGAGAGTGTTGTAAACTAGAAACACTGACAACAAAAGTAAGTAGTAAGTAAACAAGAAACACTTGTTTATAAATAAGAAGCTTATACTAGAAGGAAGGCAGGGGGGAAAAAATATAGAGAAACAAATCTCATCCCTATGCAGTATTCCTTACGTCCTTTTTAGGACGTAATTTTTTGTCATTTGAAGCCCCACTCTGGCTTTTGCCAGGGGCCGCAATATAGGCAGGCCATAAATATGGCCAATTGTCTGAACGCGGTTTCTGGGACCTCTCCACGGTGATCCTCATCCACATGGTGGCACTTTGTGTCATCGGGTGTTTGTCGCTTGTGTGATGTCCTAGTGGGGTAGAAAGTCAAGTCATCTCATCCCTAGTGTAATCTCTTGTTATCCCCTGTGGGATGCAATTTTTTCGTTTTTTGAAGCCCTACTCTGGCTCTTGCCAGGGGCTGCAATATAGTCTGGCCATTAATGTGGTCTAACGGCTGAACGCAGTTTCTGGGACCTCTCCACGGGTGATCCTCATCCACATGGTGGAACTATGTGTCATCGGGTGTTTATCGCTTGTGTGATGTCCTGGTGGGGTAAAAGAAGATAGATAGATAGAAAACAGACTAGAATGTAGTAAAAATGAACTTGTCCACACAAACAAAAAAAAAACATGGATTACAATGAAAGTAATATGAACCTAAATCAACACTGATCTTATGGCTGGGTCCGAATGCTACAACAAAGATAAAAATGAATATGTTTAGAACATAAACAAAATAAATTTCAATGAAGGCAGAATAAACATGTCTAGAAACAAACAACATACATTAGACGACCACAGAATAAACATATCTAGAAAAAGTAGTATACACTACAATACAGATGGCTGCGTGTTGAGGGCAGACAAAGTGCATGGGGGTTCATAGCAAAAGCGAATAAACGTTGCTTGGTGCAACAAAGCCTAGCATTTGTTATCACAAGGCCTAGTTTGAGAATGCATGTGAAGGCAGTCACTGCTGTATTCCCCTGGCTTGAGAATCAGCTGTACACACATGCCCTCATTGTAACTGACTCACAGAGCATGTTGAGAAAGGTGGAGACAGGTATGCTCCACTCAGTGTGGTAAGCATCACTTCAGAGGTCCTCTCCAGGTCATGTCAGTGTGCTGGGAAATGAGCAGGCAGATAGACTAGCCAGTTCCGCACCACTTGGTGGTGAACTGATGTATTACAAACTAGATGTTGGGACGGCCCTCTGGGAGCGAGTTAATAGTGCGGTAGCGCAAATAGATCATTATGGTCTGAGGAGAATGGCAATGCGAGGAGTTGACAGGAGGATGTGGCCGAGGTCAGACGGATATACAATCAGACAGTTACTTTTGCCATCAAAATTTGAACTCTTCCTTTGCTGTAGAAGATGTGGACGGAGCGCTTATGGGAGTGTCCCAAGTGCTACGATGTCAATTCTTAATTCAACACACAACATTCAACACTACAAACTGACCTTCACTGAGTAAGCCAAAGCCAGTGTTACAGCAAGAGGCAAGCCCTCGGGGACAGCCACCACAAGCACTGTGACACCAATGATGAAGTACTTCACAAATATCTCAATGTTCCTCGTGGTGTCCGTGGCTGTCCAGGTCTTGCCTCTGATGACAAACTCTTGAATGCAGAACTGCACAATGAGTATGACCACTGTAAGAACAGCTATGGCTGTACCTGTGTAGAAGAGACAGGTTACAATAAACACCAGTTAATGGTAGTCATTTGAAAGTCAACACTACTGAACACTGTAACTATAGATGTTCCATATCCCGCAGCAAATGTCTTACAGTGTAGACACTGCAGCAAAACACTGGTTGTACACACGTCACACTCTTCCTTAAATACATCTTTTCTTGCCTGATCCACACTTAATTCTAAATTCACACACTCTTACACATTATTTCATCTAATATTGTATCTTTCATCAGCGTCTGTTTATAAATGGTCTTCAGAATGTCTCCCTTATCCAGAGTGAGAGTTCCTTTATGTATGAATGAGCAGATTTTTTGCCTACAAAAGCCATAAACATTAATGGTCTATTTTAACTGATAAAATGGTGCTGTGCTGGAAATTACTTCTCTTTATTAAAACCTTAAATGTCAACAAACAAATGCCTAGAATATTACCTCAAATTATAATTGTATTTAAAACACATGGTACAATAGTATTTAAAAGCACTAGTGTGCTGAAATTTACTACACACGAAATCAACGGCATTGCGGAACACCCTGTAACCCTGTGCCAAGGTGACAGGTTCAGAAACTACCACTCAGAAGTCAGCGAGTGTGTATATGGGCGGGGCATGGGGAGATTAACGTTACTTTAACCAATCGTTGCTTGGGACTCAAAGAGTTAACCTCTTTTGCCTGCTCTTCGTTTACTTTTGATCTGAAGAGATTTTAATGCACACAATCTAAACATGGATCCTTTGAGTTATTTTGTCCTTGTTCAAGAAGTCTGGGCATATCCTTCAATGAGGAAACCACAAATTTAAGACTGTGAAATGAATCAGGACCCATGTGGGATGCAATTTGCAGTTATTTTGAAGCCCCACCCTGGTTTTTGCCGGGGGCCCTAAATATAGCCGGGCCTTAAATATGGCATTATGAGTGAAAGGGGTGGCCGAGAAATCTCCATGAGTGATCCTCATTCGATTGGTGGCACTTTGTGTCATCGTTTGTTTACCGCTTGTGTGATGTCCTGGTTGGGTACAACTTACCTACCTACATAAGTAATTCAAATTTGCTTAACTTTAAGTATTGAACCCACACATGGAAAGGAAGAATAAGAAGAAGGAAATCATGGTTTTTGTCATTACAAAATTTAAGTTCATCTATGATAATCATAATTATTACATAATGAAAGTTAATCTCTGATGGCACTATAAAACTATTTAATTGGGATTATCTGTTACAAGATTAACTTTTATAAAATACATATTTTTATGTTCCACCACAAGATAATACAGACTGAAAGTGTGCCCCAAAATAAGATACTATAAAGTGAAAGTTTGCCCCAAAACGAGATACTACAAAGTAAAAGTTTGCCAAAAGACAAGATAACACAAAGTGGAGGTTTGTCCCAAGAAAAGATAACACAAAGTGAAAGTTTGCCCCAAGTCAATTTACTACAAAGTGAAAGTTTGCCAAAAGAAAGATAACACCAAGTGAGAGTTTGCCCCAAGACAAGATACTAAAAAGTGAAAGTTTGGTCCAAGACAAGATACTCCAATGTGAAAGTTTGGTCCAAGACAAGATACTACGAACTAAATGTTTGCCCCTTGACAAGATAATACAAAGTGAAAGTTTGCCCCAAGACAAGATACTACAAAGTGAAAGTTTGCCCCAAGACAATGTACTCTTCTTCTTCTTCACGTTCACCAGCTGTAAACTCTGGCGGAAGGTTCTGGTTGCTCGTCCACTACTGAAAGTCCTGCTCCAAGAAAGTGTTTGCCCAAGACACAGATCTCATTCTCTGAATACAAGTGTTCCTTGTTTGCACTCCCAAAGGAACAAGATACTACAAAGTGAGGCAGTGGGTTTGCCCCACAATGGGGCCCCGGAACCCACACGGGGGACAATGTACTATAAAGTGAAAGTTTGCCCCCAAGACAAGATACTACAAAGTGCAAGTTTGCAAAAAAATAAGATAATACAAAGTTCATTTTTGCCCCAAGAGAAGATAATACAAAGTGAAAGTGTGCCCCAAGACAAGACACTAAAAAGTAAAAGTTTCACCCTAATGACAAGATACTACAAAGTGAAAGTTTACCTTAAATTAAATGTTTATATGTTACAAGACAAAACTTTTAGGAATGAATGTTTATAACAAGACAGAGAAGATATTACATAGTGAAAGTTTACGCCAAAGTAAATGTTTATCTGTTACAAGACAAGACAAAGAAATGAATGTTTATAACAAGACAGACAAGATACTACAAAGTGAAAGTTTGCCCCAAGACAAGACACTAAAAAGTAAAAGTTTCACCCAATGACAAGATACTACAGAGTGAAAGTTTACCTCAAAGTGACTGTTTATTTGTTACAAGACAAGACTTTGTGAAATGAATGTTTATAACAAGACAGACACAATATTTCAAAGTGAAAGTTTGTCCTTATTACTAGCTTTGATTGGTGTCTAGTAACAAATGCTTAGGGTAACAAGAGTTCAAGCTGTAACCATTTGGCACTGAAAGAGACAAAACTAAACATGGTCCACTTACCCGCATATCCAATTTGAATGGCCAGGCGAGTTAGTTTCGACTGTAGAACAGATTTCTCCTTTCGAGAACTCTTGACCTTGTGTTCTACTTCCTCGGTGTTACCTGCAGGGTTCTCAGTTTTCCCTACAGTCTGCAGAGTCAGAGGACAGTATACAGCATATATTTGTCATAGTTGTTTGACAGTGTCACATCATACAAAACAAAACAAAAAACACAACCCCCTAGACTTCTTCTGTCTGCTGTTTCTAACGCAGGCGAGTTAATCCGAATTTTTCTAAAAATATTCTTGGTTTCTCTTGGATGTCCTCATTTCCTCAATCCCTCTCATTCCCATTTCAGTGCCTTTGTTCCCTGTGTGGGTTCCGGGGCCCTTTTATTGGGAAAAACAAGAATAGACCCACTGCCTACCCAAAAGCATGTCGTAAGAGTCGACTAATTAGGAGCTTTCCTTCGAAGTCGGAGTGCATCTGCCTTAGAGGCAAGGAACCAGCAGTCTGCATACAAATGAGTCAGATCTGTAAAACGGATACACACGCAACACTCAGGTTCTGAAACCCGACTGCAGTCCAGAATTGGACCAACAACCAGAACTTTCCCCCAGAGTTTGATAGCTGGTGAACGCGAAGAAGAAGAAGTGCCTTTGTGGTGATTCTCTGCTCCTTTATTCTCAGGATGTGTCCAATATAGCATCCCCTTCTCTCTCTTATAAGTGTTTATGCTAGTGGTTGCCCAGGCATTTCTCTTACTTGTTAACCCATTTTATGTTCATCATTTTTCCTCAGGCATTTGTTTTTGAATTCATTTAAAGTTTTCCCCCTTTTCTAGATTTCTTAAATATTTTTGTGAATGCCTCTATGAGGCAGTTGATAACAGTGTTTTCTCATCAGATAGCTAAACCCTGTCTCACCTGTTGCTCGTGAATCCACTTTACGACTGGTTTCAGTCCTATTTTTCCTTTCCTTTCTTTAATTTAAATTGTATCTCTTCTATTGACTCTGGCAGCTCTCCCAAGACAGTGGTTCTCAACCTTCCTAATACCGCAACCCTTTAATACAGTTCCTCATGTTGTGTCGACCCTCAACCACAAAATTATTTTTGCTGCTACTTCATAACTTCAATGAATTTTTGTTTCTGATGGTCTTAGGCGACCCCTGTGAAAGGGTCATTCAACCCACAAAAAAGTCGTGACTTACAGGTTGAGAACCGCTGTCCTAAGACATTTATGACTGTATCAAATACTGATATCCTATAAATGGTTTCATTTTTTGTCCTTCAGAACTCTAGCATTCAGGGGCGCTGACACAATTAAAACATTGAAAAAGGTGGGCAGAATGTGGGCAAAGTTTTTTGAAAGGGGAAGGGGCAATCAAAGGAAATAAACCTTGCTTAAGTGATTAATAATAATAATAATATAATAATAATGATAATAATGTGCTGCATGGAAATTTAATAATGGATTTGAAATAATATATGTAAAAACAATATTTATGGGCGTGCAGGGGGGGGGGGGGGGGGAGGACGTGACCAGGGTCCTTTAAGAGCAAGCGAACAATGCAGAGACACAAATAGCTCATTATGATCTGTAGAGAATGGTACAGCTGGATTTGACCCGGGGTCGACACTCTACACACAGAAAAAAAGGGAAGATGAACATATAATCAAACTACTGCTACTGGCACCACTGGAATTATAACTCCTTGCAGGCTGCTGAAGATGAAGACGGAGCACTGGTGGAAATATTCTGAGTGCTGTGATGTCAATTCTTAACCTTAACTGTAGCTCCTAATGTTAATTTGTAACCATAAATGTATATTTTGGGAGCTGCCATGGTGTAGTGGCTGGACGCTCCCCTGTGGATATGAAGGCCCTGGGGTAGATCCCGGCGGAGCCAGACATTTTAAATTCGTGGTACCCAGGTCAATCCAACCTTAAATGGGTAATGGGTAAAGTCCTGCGAAGTAAAGGCGGCAGGCGTGGTGCTGACCACATTACCCACTGAAGGTCGAATGGTCTATGAAATACAGGTCTAGCCTGAAGGCGTGTAAAAGGATCCCTGAAGACATATTTGTGGACTTTAACAGATTTCGGGGTCACTAAACTCTTTTGAAGAGTCAAATGCCACCACTCTCTTATCTGTACAACTCTGCATCAACTGCACCCAGACTCAGTGTGCACTATCAGACCCAGAGATGGACACTGTTACTTCTGAGCAATCCCACCTGACAATGATTAGGATGAAAAAAAAAAACACACACACACACACACACTCATCCACTGCACACGCGACACACACACAAACACACAGAGCCTAAGACACACACGCATGTATGCACGCACACACGCACACATACACACACAGAGCCTAAGACTCAACTGTGCCAAATACCTGGTTTTTGGCCACGTCTGGGTGAGCATTGCTGGCCTCATGAGAGTTACTGTTTCTATCGTGTGTCTTCAGACTTCCCTCTGTCTCTGCAATGTTAGAAAACAAGCAGACGTGAATCATCAGACACGTCACTTCAACATCATACTTGACTAACAATGTTCACCACAAGCCATCCATGTATGCCAAAACATTTGAACCCCAACAAGGACCAGGTGTGCCCCTGGTCCCCCTAATTTTCTGAGTGACCACTCAAACCTTGTTTAATTATTTAATAATAATAAAAGCAGCACATTCATTTTTTTGCAGTTTAACTAAGACTTAAGCCCTTTGAGTCCTCATCTATAACATTATAGAAGGAGAGGCTCAAAGCACTTAACTCTTTCAGTCTCAGGGGGTTTAGCATCAGAGGCCCACTGGGTAGAAAAGAGAGACATTGGGCTTCTAGGTAGGAACCTATTAACACGTGATGTGTTCTTTTGGACTGAAAGAGTTAAGCCTTGTTTAATTCTGCAATAATAATCAATGTTTTATTATTATTATGTACTGAATAGCTAATATATAAGAAATAATATATTAAAAATAATATGTATTAGAAATGTTTTTAAAAATAACATCAATATAAGATGGGAAAGTCTGGGGAGTGGGAAGGACAGGGGGTGTAAAATAAGAGGTAGACCAAGTACAAGATGGACACAAAAGAAAAGACCTACTGCTCCCAAACAAACATGTCATAAAAGCCAACAAATAAGGGTTGTTTTCTTCAAAGTAAGAGCATATCTATCTGAGAAGTGAGGAATCAACAGACTGCAGACAAATAAGCCAGATCTGTAAAATAGATGTGCCTTCAAAACTCAAGTTCTGTAACCAGACCAAAGTCCAGAAGCGGATGAACAACCAGAACTTTCCACCAGAGTTTACAGCTGGTGAATGCAAAGAAGAAGATGACATCCTAACATCAGTACCTAATGTGACCACCTTTACTTTCAAACTGCACTGATCATGAAGAAACAACATTCTAATTTAATCTCAAACCAAAGTGCTTGTGTGCTGTGCAAGAGAGCGGAAAAATGACATTTACTCAACAAAATACAAAAGTTAAACTGAAGTTTTGCTTGAGAAGTCACACAGAGATCTTGCCTACAAAAGGATATCATCATCAAATGCTTTGCCATCTGGCAATCATGCCTCTCCACCACCTGCACTACCCAGCATCATGTTTCAGTTCATGTACTGACACCCTTCCAGATCATGAGGAAAAAGGACTGTCAAAAATCTTTTTAGCTGTCCTCTTCTATCTTTCAGAACATCAAACATAAATGATAATGCTCAAATATGGAACCATCTTCAGAATTTTTGTGATAAATGTAGAAAAAGGTTGCATTCTGCTGCACAATTCTGTACCAGTCAATTAATCCTTGATGATGTGAGCAAAACTTGTGACACCCACCTCAAACTGAAGAAGACACTACACAAATTACAGTATAGATTTACACACAAATGACATTCACAGTTCTGCTGAGTGGATTGGGTGCCCAATCTTCCACAGTGATGAAGAACTATGACAGATGTGTGCACACTGTGCATTATAAACTCCTTAGAAGTTGGTAGTGTTTAAGAGAAGATTCTAACAGGTCACTAAAGAGAGGGAAAAAAATTAAATTTGTTCACCACTTGCAATACATCGTGTAACCACTTGCAAATAACGCTGTGTAACATTTCCCTCTCAGTTTAATGTTTGTTTACACACATTATTATCTCTCCTATTTTGTAGCAGGTTTTTCAGTAAACAGTTGCAGATCTACTTCCACATGCTGTAAATGCCCCCTACCCAGTCATAGAGCTATTATTATACTTGTAAACACTTCAATCAAGTTTCAGATCTATCCGTATATGCTGTAACATCTCCCATCCAATTGTAGATCTATCTGGTAACATCTTCGATCTAGTTGTACTTATAGATCTGTCTGAACAGTAACATATCCCATGCAGCTGTAGATCTATCTGTACATGTTGTAACATCTCCCATCCAGTTGTAGATCTATCTGCACACGTAACATCTCCCATCCACTTGTAGATCTATCTGCACATGTTGTAACATCTCTCATCCACTTGTAGATCTATCTGCACATGTTGTAACATCTCCCATCCAGTTGTAGATCTATCTGCACATGTTGTAACATCTCCCATCCACTTGTAGATCTACCTGCACATGATGTAAATCTCCCATCGATTTATACATCTATCTGCACATGTTGTAACATCTCCTATCTCATTGTGCATGTAGAACAGTCTGTACATATAACATACCCCATGCAGCTGTAGATCTATCTGCACAGATTGTAACATCTCTGATCTAGGTGTACTTTTAGATCTATCTGCACAGATTGTAACATCTCTGATCTAGGTGTACTTTTAGATCTGTCTGTACCTAAAACATGTCCCATGCAGCAGTAGAAACACTCCCTCATCCAGTTTCAGATCTATATGAAAACTGTATTATCTCTAAATCAGCTGTGAATCTTATCTGTACATTCCATAACATCTCCAACCTTAGCCATTATGAGATGTTTTCCATCCAGTTATATTTCAAAATGGTACATGTAAATTAAAACATAACAATCACATGGAAAAGTAATATTTAAAACCTACACAATGCAACATGTATTATATTTAAAAAATAACTTAACCAGAAGCACAGTTGTAGATAACCAGTTAGAATACAAACAACATAATGTTCTTTAATAATAGTTTATCAAGAAAGAAAGAGAGAGAGAGAGAGAGAGAGAGAGAGAGAGAGAGAGAGAGAGAGAGAGAGAGAGAGAGAGAGAGAGAGAGAGAGAGAGAGAGAGAGAGAGAGAGAGAGATTTTAAGCTTATTTATTTATTATAACCACATAATTAAATATATTTGAAGGCTTACCTACACTAAACAATTTAATTTTTTCACCGTCATTTTTTGGTATGTTTTCTTTATAAAGGTTTTTTCCTTTTATGCACATGACACTTTCGAAATATAAGCAGTTTCTAAATGTTTGTTTTGTTACTTTTGGCACAAGCTCACTGCATTTATCCAAACAACATGTGATGAATGTACCCTTTTTGAAATGATCACTTGAAAAATGTTTCCACCTTCCCTCTGCCCAGTTTTACATGTATCTTCTACTATTTTAAATGAATCTGTAAAAAACACAAAGTATTTCTATTCACCGCATGTTCATATGTCTCTCACATATCTATTCTGACTTTTTTTGCAACCACAAAATTGCACATTCGTGACATTTACAAGTCAATATTCATTCACATTTCCCGTTTCATTTCACATTTCAACACAAACCAACATCCTCATCTAGTCACACACCCACATTCATACCCCCACTAAACCCAAAGCCACACCTAAATACAAAACTACTTTCAAACCCAGTTAAAAATCTATCCTCTTCCCTCACATGCTGATCGATCGATCCAACAGTTTATCTCCTCTGGATTGCTACCCAAAGGTTTACCATGCCATCCTGAGATTTTTAAAAATCTCTTTCTGGACGGCAGACCAACAAGGCGGATCCCAGATACCCTGCTCAACTTCAAGAAAAATTATAAGCAGGGTTCCTGTAACGGCTAGCCCAGCCAGGAGTAACCTGCAGTCCTATGTGGGTAAGAATGCCCTCACAAATTCTCTCTCTCTCTCTCTTGTTGGATCCTGCCAAGACATCACATAAGCGATAAACACCTAGTGATACAAAGTACCACCTCCTTCGAAGTCGGAGTACAGCTGCCCATGAGGCAGGGAACATTAAAACGGTTGTACACGCAAAAATCAGGTCCAGGTGAAAGCCAAAAGTCCAAGTGGACGATTAACCGGGACCTTCCGCCGGAATTCACAGCCGGTGAACGCAAAAAAAAAAAAAAAAAAAAAAAAAAAAAAAAAAAAAAAAGTACCACCATGTGGATGAGGATCATCCGTGAAGAGGTCCCAGAAGCCCCTTTCAGTCGTTAGGCCATATTTATGGCCCAGCTATATTCAGGGCTCCCGGCAAAAGCCAGATTGGGGCTTCAAATAATGAAAAATTGCATCCCACATGGAGACGACTAAAATAAATCCTTCTTTATGCCCCTTTTATATGCTGCAGTAACCAATCAAACCACACACACATTCATACCACCGAAATGATAACTACTGACATCAGACATGCAATATCTGTATGAAGCACAGGCAGCACAATGTGACACGTGGCAACATGACATCTACCAACATCAACCATCTTGTCAAAATGAAACTGGTCACTCAATAATAGGAAACCACACCAATAAAGCAAGCATGAAGACTGAACAGGGTTTATATGCAAAACACCTGCCAAATTACCTCATTTAAACAATAACGACTATCTTACCTATGTCAATAAATAAAATTTACTTTATAAAATTTCTTTTTAACTTGTCACTTAAACAACAATAGCTACCCTGACAAAGTTATGCTGTCAACAACAACAACAACAAAACTTATTGAAGCAAAGTTATATAGGTCACACAGACAGTAAGCATTCTATTACTGATGCGCTTGTTTAAACAACAACAATTGAGCCTAAGTTACAGTGGTCACTTAAACAACAATTAATATCCTGGTGAAGTTAAATTGTTTAAAAACAACAACAATTGAGCCTAAGTTACATTGGTCACTTAAACAACAATTAATATCCTGGTGAAGTTAAATTGTTTAAAAACAACAACTATTGAGCCTAAGTTACATTGGTCACTTAAACAACAATTAATATCCTGGTGAAGTTAAATTGTTTAAAAACAACAACTATTGAGCCTAAGTTACATTGGTCACTTAAACAACAATTAATATCCTGGTGAAGTTAAATTGTTTAAAAACAACAACAATTGAGCCTAAGTTACAGTGGTCACTTAAACAACAATTAATATCCTGGTGAAGTTGAATTGTTTAAAAACAACAACAATTGAGCCTAAGTTACAGTGGTCACTTAAACAACAATTAATATCCTGGTGAAGTTTAATTGTTTAAAAACAACAACTATTGAGCCTAAGTTACATTGGTCACTTAAACAACAATTAATATCCTGGTGAAG